TGCCGAAGAATTATTGTACGGGAAGATTGAGGCCGGATAGAGCCATACTTGGCAATGCTATGCCACGACAACGAGGGTAATGAACCGTTCAGTGATGTGAACTTAACAATTTTGCCTGGAGCTGCCAGTGGATCGAGACGGACCAAGACCGTCGATTATTTCACTGCATTTTTGTACCAGCTTGCTTCAAGCAATGCATGAACACGTGCAAGCCTGTCATCGCCGTCGACGCGTGCCACATGAAAGGGATCTACAACAAGACTGGGGTGTTCCTTACTGCAAGTGTGAAAGACAGTGGCCACAAAAATCGTCTCATTGCACTCGCGATTGTCCCGCAAGAGACATGGGAGCACTGGAAATGGTATTTGCACAACTTTAATTTGTCTGGACTTGATATTCCGTGGTTTCGGTATTTGTATCGGATCGATTTAAAGGTGCATGCAAAGTCAAGACGAATTCCAAACGATTGTTCTAAGACATGTGAAGTATCTCACATATTATGCATAGGTCTCCTTACTACAGTCAACGAAGAATTTCCGAATTCCTTGCATCGATATTGCATGTACCACGTAGCACTCAATGTGGCCGCGGCATGTAGTCGTCTGACAAGACGTGGAAGAAAATGCATCAAGAAAGTTGCAACATCAAAAACCAAAGACGAGTATGACCAAAACATGGCCAACTTGGAAAAAGTGCTCCCAAAGGGGGCGAGGTACTGTACCTTCGAGACGTATAGTACAACCAGGTATTCAAAACTGGGTACAGTTCGAAATCAATGCGAACGGATTTGCTACGTTCGGAGTCCGTACATCAAATACTGCTGAGTGCAACAACGCGTGGATGGGTATTGATGCGATCGTCCAACCCGGTGTATTAGATGAAGCTGTTGCAGCAACTACTATTGAAAAAAAATAAAGCATTTTTATCTTTTAATGTTTTGGTTAACAGTGGTCGAACGCATCGACCGACCTTTTTTCAATTTGCGTGTTTATAGATGAATTTGTTCATAAAAAACTGTGTACTGCTCCGCGTATTCTTCTGAATACAATGGACTTGATCACATTCCTTCAAACAGAATACTCTTCATGAAATGGTCAATCAATGTCAAGAATGATAGTCAATTTGTATCCTAAATAGTTATAGTCTTCGACAATTGATAAAGTTCTCGCAAGAGTATATTCGTTCGTAGAGTCATGTAATTGCGCAATTTCGTTGGATGAGCACAATTGGGGGCAATGTTGTTCACCAAAAATGACGGAGAGCACCAATTATTTTCCACCAAAATATATTTCGCCGCTCCATTTGGACCACATAAACGTGATGCAACTTGAGCATCAGGAAATGATCATTCAATATCAATGTACGTGTCAACTTGCTTCTTGTGACCCCGCCATCGACCACGCAATTCAATGTGGTCTTTTGAAACACCACATTTCGCACAATATGTTGTTGCTCCCTTTCGAATGCTGTGGGTTCCCAGGTTTCCGGCCACCAGTTTACGAAAGTCGCAATGCTCCAATGCCACACCAAGAAGGGAGCGAACCATTCTGTGTCCATCATTTCCATTACCATACAAAAAGCAATACCAACCAATGGGTCCACCAACGTCTCCATGTACACAGGCAGGTTCAACAAAGGGCATAAATGATCGTCCATGGATGCAAGGACAATTTGATGAGGGGCTTCGCGCTCCTCGGAAATATTTTTGACCATCGCATCTGACACAGTAGGGTAAACTGGTGACTTGGGTTGAATGAAAACTCACGCAAACAGTTTCATCATGTCGTCGACTCGTGCAACCAGGTGCCATTGCAACGTGATAACGCTCCCAAGCCGGTATCGATCCAATTCCGAAAATTCGGAGCATAGTCGTATGACTTTTAATGCATTCATGAACTCAGTGAACTCAATGGGCCTGTGGGCTTTTGACTCGACGCCCTGACGTCGCACCTCACATTTCATCACCAACGTGATGACGTCATTTACAACCACAGATCGCGTTGGGTTGCCCTCTCGCCGGGGTTCGTCCCATGGAATCATGCGGCGTGGCATGAACGCGCTGAGCATCTTTTTCATAGATTTAAGGGTGTTTGCTCGTGCATGTGTTGGAAGGGAAGCAGACGTTGGCGCAGTAGTTCCAAAGGCTTTAAGGTTGAAATAGCGCCGGATGTCCTCAGGGGTCACATCCAGCAAGTTCGTCTCGGTGAAGTTGGGGTCGTTGAGCTCCTCGGTGCGTCCCAAGAACTCCATGATGCGCTTGAGCTCCATCTGGTATACTTTGTTTGCTCGATCCATTTGCGGTGTGTTTTGTGTGATAT